TACAGAACTCCACACCCTAAACCCTAAACCCTAATTCCTAAACGCGAAAATACCCTAAACCCTAAACCCTAAACCCTAGAAGGCTCTACACCCTAAACCCCAAATACCCTAAACCCTGAAAGGCCCTAAACCCTAAACCCCAGAATACCATAAACCCTAAACCCTAAACCCGAAAATACCCTAAAATTACCCTCAACCCTAAACAACCCTAAACCCTAAACCCTTCAAAAGTAGCGGCCGAGCAGCTCCGTGGGCTGAGCTGGACGGGGCTGGACATCACAGAGTCCTCTTTTTTTCTGGGTCTGAGGGGACCTTGAAGAGTTTAGGGGTGCTGGGTTTAGGGTTGAAGGGTTCTGGGTCTAGGGTTTAGGGTTTCTGGGTTTGGGGTTTAGGGTTTAGGGCGTTTAGGGTTTGGGACTTAGGGTTTTTAGGGTTTCTGGGTCCTTGTTGGATACAATTCTACATTTTTGGTTAAAACACAACCCAATAAGGATGAACAATTGCCACTCTTGAAAAGCCCCAACAGGTGGGGTTTGGGTAAGTCGCGGTTAAGAATTTAGGGCTAAGGGCTTGGGGTTTTGGGGGGGCTCTTTGAAGGGTTTAAGGTTTTTGGGTCTCTGTGTTCCGGCTCGTTGAGTACGGGGCTATGCAGATTTTGGGGCTTCGGTTGCATGGGGCTTCTTGGGGGATGATCCAAGGGCTTTCGGGTCCCACCTCGGTATCGGCTAAGCGGAGGACAGAAGTCTGCGAGTCTACAGTTCGGATTTGGGGGCCTTAACTCTCACCAGCCGTGAAAACATCATCCCTTTGCTTGACGGGGCCATGCAACGGCCAGGGAGGGTTTCAGACACTTACACCAGACGACGGCGATGATTATGATGATGATGATGACCATCATCCTCAACTACTTCATCACTATCATCAACGTCGTTGCTGCTGTGCACACGTCTGATACATTGACATGATCTCTGTCTTCCTGGCCCTCGGCGAAGGCGTCCACAGCATTGGGTCCGGCCAAAGATTTGATGTCGGTGAAGTCGCGAATCCCCAGTAGATGGTAGGACTTCCCATCCAGCTTCGAATACTTCACCTGGAAGACTTCGGCGCAAAGCTTGCTGGAGCAGCTGTCCACGAGGCGCGTGTGAAAGGCGTGCGCTGTGATCTCCTGCGTCGAGAATGAAGAGAGGTTGCTGCTGGAACCCAGAATCTCGATGGCTCTGCCTGCATCCACGGGTTGCATAAAGTCGGTAAAGCACTTTGCCTTCAGGGTCGTGTTTGGTCGATCATGGAGAAGCATCGCGGAGAGCTCCGGTGAATGATCCGTGAACCTCAACTCACTGTCCAGTTCGACAACTGCATCACAGGTCAGCCGAAGCAGTGACGAGGCAGCGCTCAGCTGCGAGGACAGGTTGTTGGTGCCTGCGATGAGCTCCGCTTTCATTCTCATCGATGCCTGGCATGCTCCAAGTTTTGAGAATGAACGGTGTAGCCCCTAGCCGCTAGTCCCCTAAAATACCCATTCAAAACCTAGCTGACCCACGTTCTACATGCCCCGATAGGATGGAAGCTTCACAAAAGCAAAGGTGCAAGGAAGATGAAGCTGAAGGCCAAGGTTGAAACCGTCGCATACATGTCCACGCGGACCAAGAGGGTGGGATCGCGAGTGCTCAGGCCAAGACTGTCCACGACCTCGAAATGATCGAAGCGTCTGCGCAGGGCCGTCAGCGCTAGGAAGGAAGCGTCCGCGAAGAGGACCGTGAGGCCACAAGAAGCCAAAGGGATGGAAGGCAAGCGGATGAGGATGAATATCACGAACCAGCTCATGAAGAGATCCTGGGGCAAACAGTGTGAAGGAAGGAGTGCCACGAGTGGAATGGCGTTGAAAGCAATGTAGAGGACGTCGGTGGTGGAAGGTCGGAGGATGGAGGGAAAAACCAGACAGGTTAAACCGAGCAGGCCCGACACCAAGACGTTCCAAAGCTGTGGAATTGACACCCAGAAAGGCTGCTCCATGAGCGCCGTCGCCTGTCCCAGAATGAGCCCAAAGAGCGCTACAACCGTCAGATAGGTGGTGACTCCTCGGGCAATCCGCATGTGAAGGTGAGTGGACTCCTTCACCAGTGCCTCCTCCTTCCCGGAGCACAGAGGAAGCATCAAATCTCTCACATGTCTGAGGCGGCTCGTGAACCACTCTTTCACTGTCTTCTTCCTGTACAGCAAAAGCATCGTCAGCTTCGCAAACAAGGCCAGTTCGAACACGGTCGCAGCTGCCACGAAAGCCGCTTCATGCCAGTCTTCAAGCACCATGGCAGCACGACTATGGGCGTGCTTCTACTTGAGTATCGGCCGTAGATGGCTGTAGCCTGATGAACAGCTGCCACGCTAGGCCACTGCCATAGATTTGTCTCCTTTTTGCTATGCCTGCTGTGCTTTGTATTTTCTTTCGACGGCTTCATCTTGCTGGCCTCCGGCCCGCTCTACCTCAGCGCCCAAAGAGAGCAGAAGCGAACGGAGGGGGATGAAAGCACGGCTCAGGGTTTAGGGCCTTTTTTTGTGGGTTCAGTCTTTCGGGTCTCGCCGAGCTTTGCCTTTCACTGTCCCTGTATCTTACCTTTGGTTAGTAGGGAATGGAAGAATGGTAGTAATGGTACTTATAATAGTTCCCATTCCTCCATTCCCTACTAACCAAAGGTAAGGTATCCCAAAGCCTCATCGATGATGTGGCAGATCGGCCCTACAGCCCAGCGTGACTGGCCGCCACCGCAGTGCTCCGGCCGCCTTCGTGGGGTTTAGGGTTTAGGGTGTTTAGGGGGTTTAGGGGGTTGAGGGGTTTAGGGGGGTTTAGGGGGGTTTAGGGGGTTTAGGGGGTTTAGGGTTTAGGGGTAGGGTGGGTCTTGAGGGGGGAAATTGAAGGAGACCTCTCTGCATGGCGGTTGGAATGAGGTTTCGGGATGTTCGGATTGGGAGCGAGAGCTTAATTATTACTATTACTATTAGCATTAGTGTTATTATGAGTACTATTATTATTATTACTATTATTATTTGTATTTTGATTGCAATTACTAGAACTTACTACTATTTTGATCATTTCTTCGACATCTGCAATGGATTGCCGAGCTCCCGGCCGATGTTCGGAGATGTGGATGAGGCCAACTGCCAGAGAGGAGCCGCACTTACAGTACTCCTACACTACACGATGTTAACGGAATTTAGGGTTTAGGGTTGGTTTAGGGTTAAACTATATTATGCTATCCCATAAGATAGCGTTCTGCTGTGTAGTATGCTCCGTTTTTGTATCTTTTTTTGTTTTTAACCCGGCTGTTCTCCAATGACAGGTGCAACCCACCTTCGAGCAGTTGATCTGCTACCCTCAAGCGGAAGGACCGAGACTGGCCCCTCAAACCAAATTCCACATATACAAGACTGGGGTTTGGGGTTTAGGGTTCAGGGTTCAGGGTTTAGGGTCCGTAACCGGGTTATACTGTATCACCGCTTGCTGCATGTCTACTGCATGAAATTACGCGGTATTACATTGCATACTATATTGCACATACAAAGACTACATATCTCAATATCATGGCTCCCACTGCCACTCTTTCTACATGTTTCACGTTTTGCCTTTATCATTGCTATTCTCACCAACGTTATTGCTATCATCATCACGTTATCGTCACCATCATTACTACAAGTATATTCAAATTCTGACCCTGCACCGTTCTCCGAGCGCTGCTTCACCTCCCTTTTCCCTAACCCTGCACCGTTCTCCGAGTGCTGCTTCACCTCCCTTTTCCCTAACCCTGCACCGTTCTCCGAGTGCTGCTTCATCTTACCCTACATCCAAACCCTAAACCCTCAACCCCAAACCCTAAACGCCCTAAACCCTAAGCCCCAAACCCTAAACGCCCCAAACCCTAAACGCCCTAAACCCCAAACGCCCTAAACCCTAAACGCCCCAAACCCCAAACCCTAAACCCTCAAACCCTAAACCCTAAAACCCCCTAAACCCCCTAAACCCCCTAAACACCCTAAACCCCAAACCCCTAAACCCTAGTGTTACTTCATCGGATCGCCTATGCACGCCGACGGCAGGCTCCCTTCCGCCGGCGCGTCGGGCCAGGACCCCTCGAGCCTGGCTCTCATCGGACGGCGCCCGGGGATGTAATGGGCTTAGGGAGTTTAGGGTTCAGGGTCCAGGGTTTAGGGTCTAGGGTTCAGGGTTCGGGGCTTAGGGTTCAGGGTTTAGGGTTTAGATGTAATGCTACATAAAGCGACGAACATAGCACGAGTTGAAGATAAGTCCAGATATAGTCTAAGCTAGAATGGGCTTGGGGCTGAGAATGGGTTCAGTGCAGCCATAAGAAGGGCAAGACCGGCAACGCAAGCAAATATCTAGGACAACACGGGGCAATGTCCATGCAGGACCATCGAAGCAGCCACCTTTTGACCCACTCGTCGCCCAGCGCCGCAAGGGGCCGCCCGCCGACATGCAAGGCATACCTGTTGAGGACTCTGCATCAACCAGCCGGAGTCTGGGAATCTGATTACCATAGTACCATTCTACTGTTAATAATGATTGTTGCTATCATTACTAGGACGGTTTTTTCGTAACTTATCTTGCCCTTATCGTAATTGCTACACTGAGACGACTATCACTAGGCTTGTTGGAGTACTGGACTCCAAAAGGTGCCGGGAGTCAGGTGGCTCTCATTGCGAAGACACGCTGATGGGTGTCTTTGCTTCAGCCGAGGCACCAGCCAGCGGGTATGCGCCAGCTGCGGTTTTCGACCTGCTTTCTGCCGGTAATCATGGCCTCAGTGGCCGGCAAGCAGGACCCAAGTCTCAGATCAAACTGGAACTCCTCTTCGTGATCTCTTCTGTGACCTTCTGCACCTCTATATCTCCAACCACCCCCTTTTTGAAGGCCCCCAAAGGGCCCCAAAAGCAAAAAACTGCATCTCAGCCCCCAGCCCGGCCCTGCTGGGATCCTTGCACCGTCAGCGCCCGCTGCACCGACGGTGGAGGACAGAGGCCTTCGCCAAGCCCAAGGGAAAAAAGCACGACTCTTCTGCGGGCCTCCCCGTCCCTGGTCTTCCGTTTTCGTGACGGCAGCTGGGTCCACAGTGCGGGGAAACAAAACATCGATGAAGCTGTTGATGTCTCAAGACAACCAGCACGACCTTTGTGGTGCTCCATGCCTAGTGACTTCAGTGAAGAAAGGGCCCAGGCGAATGTGAGTTCCATTTCGACCCCCAGCACAGTCTTCGGGAGCATTCGATGCGGAGGAGGATGAAGACTCCGGCGGTTCGTCGACCACGGTGCCACGGTGCAACTTAGCTTTGTCGAAGCTCTTGCCTGGACACTCGAACGGGTCAGCCAATGGCAGCAACCTCCGTGATGTCCCTTCAAGCTTTCTCGAGCGAGCCAACCTCTTGGCCAGGCCGGGTCCCTAAACCCAAAACCCTAACTTCTCGACTTGGACACGCACGGCCGGGGGCAGCTTCGGAACCCGCAGGAGCTGGCAACTCTGGAAGTCTCGTGACATGCCCATGAATGCGCACAGGAGAATCAACAACACTTCTAGGCAGAAATCCGAGAGTTCGGTGAGGAGAGGAATGCGACTGCAAAAACAAAGGCTAAGTGAGCTTGGTGCTGTCTGTGGGTTCCAATCAAAAGGAAGGATAGTTCAGTGATGAAGCCGGCCGTGCTTTTGCTTGGTCGCGATGCTCATAATTAGTCTACAGTAGTCCGAGTCCTTGTGCTTCTGGACTGGCAGCTTCTCCAAAAGACGCGGAACGCACACTGCTCGTCTTCACGACTGCCACGGCGACTTCCGCCGTCCCTAGCAACTAAGTGTGCGAAAGTAAGTATGACGACCATGTGTGGTCTAGGTTCGTGTTCATGCCCTGACTTCTGGCACCACTCGTACAACGCTATCATCAGCATGAGTCTTTTCTTCATCTCACCATCATCATCGTCAAAATCATCATCGTCGTCGTCATCATCATCACCTTCTTCATCACAACCTTGCTCATGATCATCAACATCGCGATCTACATTGCCACCGTCATCATCTTCGTCATCGTCAGCATCATGATCATCCTCGGCATCATCACCATCATAATCATGACCATCATGCTCATCCTCGGTGCTGCTACTCCTCCTGTCACGATCTATTTGTGGGTTCACCAAAGGCCCGCTTTATTTTCTTGAGGGTTTTTGAAAGCGCTCGGGGCAGCAAGCAATGCTTGGCAAGTGTTGCCAAAGAGCGAAGGACTTGCTTCGGTGCTGTGATAGGTTCCGGAAGCTCCTAGAACACCGCCGGGGGCCGCACCTTCGGCCTCTGCGTTCTGTGCCCCTTCTCCAGCAGCTGTGTCGAGCCTCTCACCTCACCGAAGGCTTGGGGGCGCGAATTCGATGGAGCTGTTGCTCTCTTGCTGTTCCAGCATCTCGTGGGAATAAAGACTCCATTCAGACTTCAGTCCGACTAAGCGCCGCCCGGAAACGCAGAGTCAACTTTTGTTGCAAGTGTAGCTGCAGGCAAGCGCCTGAGTCGGAGCTGCTGGGATCACGTGCCCTCCACCGGCGCACGTTGCCCTCACCGCGGGTTGGCAACTTTCGGTTCCATGCACAAACCAGAAAAGGTTGGCACTGACCGCATGTGGACCCCTTGCACTGCTATCCGTCGCGCTGCACGACTCAAACAACAGTAACGTTCCTAGTTCAACCATTGGGACGGGATATCTCCCTTAGCCCTTAGTTGTTCAACCTCCGTTTTTTGGTTTCGGGCCTCTATCTATAGGTGCCTGAATAAGAAAACAGAATCTGGGGATATGTTGGACAGTATACAGTATAATCATAGGACAAACAGAAGCCCTGAATATTCAGGCCTCTGATTACAGTTGGCTTTCTTTCAACTTGGATTGACAGCATCAGCAACGCAGAGTCTCACCCCAAATCTGGGATCTTGTTGAGGGATTACCATAATAGGGATCTATGGTAAATGACATGGTTTCCTTATTATGGTAACTTAAGCTAAATCCCTTAACAGGAACCCAGACATTTGTTGGCCTTCAACCCTACACACTAAACCCCATACCACAAACCCCAAACCCTAAACCCTAAACCCCAGAGTTGCTGGCCTTCAGGGTTTCGTCCCCGTCTTGCCATGCAGCTTGCCACCAATCTCCTTAGCAGGGTGGCAGCAAAGCCGGATAAGCCAAGCCATGCACGGAACCAACGCCTCCTTGAGCGTTTGGGGGTTTAGGGGTTTAGGGGTTCAGGGTTTAGGGGTTTAGGGTGTAGGGGGT